GGGATTGAGCCCTGTGTTGGGCTCTGCTCTGAACATGGAGCCTGCTTGAGATTCTCTCTGTCCCTCTCTCTCTGTTCCTTCCCCATTCATGTGCATGAGCGCTCTCTCTCTCTCTCAAAAAAAAAACCCTACATTTTAATTAGTAGGTTATAGAAATTCTGGGTCCTGTTTTATTTATTTTTGTTTGTTAGTTTATTTATTGAGAGCTGTTTATTTTTTAGTAACTTGCCTATACTTTATTTGTGAAATCAGTCTTTTCTCCCTTATAGTACATATTTGCTGAAATCTCTGCTAAGTTTTTAAATTCTTATTATTTTCTTAAAATATTTTTTAATGTTTATTTATTTTTGAGAAAGAAAGACAGAGTAGGAGTGGAGAAGGGGTAGAGAGGGAGGGAAACACAGAGCTGTCAGCACAGAGCCCAACGCGGGGCTCAAACTCATGAACTGTGAGATCATGACCTGAGCCAAAGGCAGATGCTTAACCACTGAGCCACCCAGGCACCCCTAATTCTTATTTTTTAGGCTGGATTCCTTAGGGGTCTTTCCTGTGTCTGCATAACTTAATTGTTAGCTAATGATATGGTAAAGGTTTCCACTCTTTGCTGATTGGTCTATGTATAGGTTTTAGAATACATTCAAGGTTGGAGCCAGTTTTCAACTCTTCCTTGGTTTCATTTCTTCTTTTTTCTTTTTTTAAGATTTTATTTTTAAGTAATCTCTACACCCAACATGAATGCTCAAACTTATAACCCCGAGATCCAGAGTCACATGCTCTACCAAATGAACCAGCCAGGCACCCTGCCTTGGTTTTCATTTTTCAGGGTTCCCCAACAAATACATACCTTTCCACTTAGCCAGAGCTGTAAGTTTATCATAGACCTTCTGTGGTTTTCTCATTGACATGATCTTTTCATTAATTTTCTGACTGGTCAGCCATTTACCCTCCCCAGCACCTCTACTACCTTCACATTTTCCCTGTTCATTCCCAACCAAGTCTATCACTTTTATCCACCAAATCCATGGGTTTTTGACACCTCACCCTGAAATGAATCCACTGTTTTTGCCAGCAAAGCTGTTGTGTTCTTTTTGCTAGCTTTATTTGGCGGAACTGCCAGTCTCGTTATTCACGCTGGCAGTGGGTGGTCAGGAGCAATCTCAGGCAGACGAGCCTAGCCTCCCACTGTTCTCACCTGTAACTTAGCGTTTATTCTAGAGCAAACACTTCTCCATTTGCAGTCTGTCTTTGGTTAGTTTCCTATGCTCCAAAGTGGTTCTTTTGAATAGCTTTGTCCAGCTTTATATTTGATGTTTATGTATGGGAATTGTCACTTCCTTCATGCCTCTGTGGTACATACGTACATATATATATGTATATACATATGTACGTATGTATATATATTTGGGGGGGGGCAGATGAATTTTACATTTACTTACTCCCTAGGAAGTTTTGGTGGTATTTTGATTAGATCTACATTGACTCTATAAGCTAATTTTCAGAATATCAACATATTTACATTGAGATTTCTCTCTGGGAACATGGCATTTATCTACATTTATTTGGACTTAACCCTCAGCAAAATTATTTAACATACATATAGGATTTACACCTTTTTTGCTAAGCTTATTCTTAGCATTTTAAAAGTTTTTTTTGCCAGTCACTAATGAAATGCTTTTTCCAGTGTATTTTTCTAATCATTTATTGCCAGTTTGTAGGAAGGTTAGTTTTTATGAGTTTGTATTAGTTGATCTTGTATGCAATTGCCTTGCTGAACTTACTCTAATAGTTCTAATAGTTTGTCAGTTTCTTATTTTGGTTCTTTTAGGTAATCTGATTATTTGCAAATAATGACAATTTTATTTCCTTATAATTCCTTATAATTAAGGAATTAATTATAAGGAATAATAATTTCTTATAATTTTATTTTCTTACATTTCTTGTCTTTAAAATTCTATTGTATAAGTTACGATCTCTAGGAAAATAGTAAATTAGTAGTCATAGTGGCTTAGTGACTTTGCTAGAAATATTTCTAATGCTTCACCATGAAGTATGACATAATGAGTTTTTTAATTAAGCAACAATTGTTCTTTTATTTCTATTATCATCTAATATTTTGGCATATACTGAGATGATATTATTTTTTCTCTTCATTTCCTAATATAGATAAGAAATAATGCTATTTGATCAAGAAGTATTATAATTTTAATATTTTCCTCAATTCACTTTGCTAATATTTCATGATTTTTGCATTTAATTCATAATAGAGATTGGCTTATAAAGAACAATGCCTTAATAAACCAGATATTCATTCCAAATTAAAAGAAATTTAGATAGGGACCCTGGATGGCTCAGTCAGTTAAGCGTATGCCTTTTCCTCAGGTCATGATCTCACGGTTTGTGAGCTTGAGCCCTATGTCGGGCTCTGTGCTGACAGCTGGGAGCCTGTTTCAGATTCTTGTCTCCCTCTCTCTTTCTCTGACCTTCCCCTGCTTATTCTCGCATGCACTGTCTCTATGTCTCTCTCTTTCTCTGTCTTTCAAACATAAATAAACATATACACATTTAAAAAAAAGAAAAAAGTAGTGTATATGTCCCCTTCTTCAGAAATTTGGTTTAGGACCTGTTCATTTTTCTCCTATTATTTACATTAGCTGTCTATATTAAATTAATATTTCACACTATATGGCATCTTTTTTTTTAGCAGTACAAAGAATTTAAAGTCCAGTTTCTTCATATGTGATGATTGTTTTTCTAGCCTTCGGAGTTTTTCTGTTTACTATAGTTTACCATACAGCCTTCCTTTAAGAGTTATGCTTAACATATTTTTTAATAAAAGAATTACAAGAATTGTTTAGCATTTATGTGTCTTTCTCTTTGATATACTTAGTCTCTCTTTTCCTTTTATTATAAGCTTTGTGGTATTCCTCATGTTGTTCTCTTCATTCTAGTCCCTTCTGTCACCTGCTCTGTAAAACTTTTCTTGGTCCCTCCTCTTCCCCATTACTCCCTGAAGAGTTAGACTTTTTTTGTTTCTAATATAGTTTATTATAAATTAAGTTATATGTGTATGTTTATATATGTATGTATGTGTATGTATATATGTATGTAGTTCTCTTAATTATATCTTTGCTATAATACCGTAATTTCCCTGTTACTTTTGGTTATAAGGACAGTCTCATTTTTGGTACTTAAGACTTAGTCTTACATATTTTTAAAAAACTTTTCAAAACTCACTTCACTTGCAGAGATTCTGAGGGATTGAGGGTGTCTGACTGAACATAATTTTCCCTTCTTCCATGTGTTGGGGCAGAAAGGGAGGAGAAGAAAAAAGGCAAACATATTATTAAACTGGGTGAAGTTTTCATCTTCTCCTTTTAGGTTGTGGCTGTCTGTGGCTAACAGTGACTGTTCATCATGCCCTGTTGTCAGGCATTTAAAGGCTGGCTCATTGCCACACGGAAGATCCTTCCTGGCCCAACCTTTTGGCAACTCTCTGAACTTAGAACATGTAAAAATTACCATCTTGTGTGCTTAGTTTAGGCCTTATGTGCAATTCTGGGACTATAGGAAAATCCTGTTCAGTACTCTGTGAAATTTATTTTGAAGTTCATGTTCCACAGTCCAGAGGAAAATAACAGCCTTCCAGAAGAGGGTATTAGGTTGTGCAGATATTACAGAACACTTCTTCAGTGTAGTTTCATACTTAGAATGTATATTCTGTGTTCTGAAATAATTGAGCCCGTAGGAAACTCTGTCTCAACATGTTATTCTAGAGATGTGCCAAATGTACTATTTAAATGTAAGTTAACTTAAATTTACGTTAATGAAACTTAAAATAAAAATTCAGTTTTTCAATCACATTAGCCACATTAAAAAACATTCTTAAAAGTTTATTTATTTATTTATTTACTTATTTATTCATTTTCAGTTTATTTAAGTTTATTGCAAGCACGGTCGGGGTAGAGAGAGAGAGGGAATTAATTCCAAGTAAGCTCAGCACCTTCAGTGCAGAGCCCGATGCAGAGCTCAAACTCACAAACTGTGAGATCGTGACCTGAGCTGAAACCAAGAGTCTTTCACCTAACCACCTGAATCACCCAGGCGGCCCACAGTACCCACATTTTAAGTGCTTCATTAGCCACAAATGGCTAGTGGCTGCTGTATTGAATAGCACAGAACATTACCATCATTGAGAAAAGTTCTCTTAGATACTGCTTCTCTAGAGGATAGAGAGGAGGATATTTTTGTAACCATAGGAAAATCAGATACATAGAGTCAGTCATATATATCAACCAGTTACTCTTTCACAGGTTCTTGGGGTTTTTTTATTTCTTGCCTGTACGAAGGAAGTTTGTGAAAGGGAAGAAAGTTAGCGCATTCCTCTACAATGTACTGCTTTCAAATTCATCTGATAGTTAGCTTCTCTTGTGGAAGCTTCAAGTAACTGCTACTGCAAACGTAGTTGGCAGCAGCAGCATCCAGAGTTCAAACATTTCCACCCATCAGAGACAAATTCCCTGGTTCATCCTTCCTGTTTCCTTTCTTATTATTCCCTTATTCCTCCGGTGAAGGTAGGCGCAACTTCAGTACCAAGACAAGGTAGGGCTGGCATACATAGAAAGGTAAACGTGTGTGCATGCATGTGTAAATTTTGGAACAAGTGATAGGATTTTTAGAAAGATAATTTTTTTTTACCAAGTCCTTAGATATCATTTAATTGAATGCCTGCCCCCATTTTACATATAAGTAAACTGAGACTAGAGAAAATGATTGTTCAAGATTGTATTAATAGTAAATGGTAAATCTGGAACTAAAAGCTGTGTTCCATGACATGCTAAATCGTTTACCATTCCTATTTTAATTTTTTATTTACTACTAACAATTGCTGCAGATACAATGACAAGAATTTAGAGGTAAGACTAATTATTATAATGAATTTCTTATTTTTAAAATGTTGCTTTTTATATGTTTTAAAGTTTTGGTAATTATAATTTTTACAGATTGAAGAAGAGAAGAGGAAAAAAATTGAAGATATGAAAGAAAATGAACGAAAAAAAGTAACTAAAGAATTGGAAGCCTGGAAAGAATGTCAAAGAAAAGCTGAAGAACAAAAAAGAATTCACAGAGAAAAGAAATGCTGTGAACAAGAAGAGCAAATTGAAGAAGAGAGAAAGAAGTTAAACCATAAAAGCCATACTAGAATTTCAGCATCTAGACATCTTGCCACTAAAGGTATTTTCTGGGAAAGTGAGGCCTGTTGGTAAACTAGACAGGTCACTGTTTTTGTTATTTATTTACACGATTAGGTCATTATTTTGGTGTGTAGAGAATAAGTACTGTAATATAAAGGCCAAGGTGAAAGATCTCTTTCTTCTTTTAGGAAGTAGTGACATTTTCAGAATACAACGAGCAAGGATTCAGTGTTGGTTTTGCTGTGTGTTTCATTTTGAAATGTATGCAAGTGTTTTTAAATAGGTGTTTAATTCCAGTCGAAAAAGACTTGGAGTGGATTAGTGGTGCCAGGAGCATTCATTTACTTCTTTAGAGATAAGAAAATAGGAATCTCATTAAAATATACTTTCGTCACATGGCTCAGGAATACGAGTACTGTTACGCCAACTTACTTGTAAGCAAACGGGGGCTCTTCTGGCCTTTGATCCTGATGTGTTTAGAAATAGGTAAAAGAGCTTTTACTATTGAAAAGCTAGGAGTTTGATTTTTTATTTACTTTACTTTACTTTATTGAAAGCTAGGAGTTTGATTTTTTCTGATTTTAGAATATTAAACTTTGTTTTGGGTATATTTAGTAAATGGAATATTTTGTACCAAAATCACTCCTATAATAACAATAATTAACATTTATTGGGTGATCTCTCTATGCCAGGCGATTTTATTGATTGTGTGACTCAGTCTTGACAACAACACTTTGACCTAAGTGCTGCTTTTCTTATTAGAGGAAATAGATGTTCCAAAATGATATACAACGGCCCAACAAGTAAACCTGTGGGATTTGAACCCGATCTTTTTGCACCTGAAACCTACACTCTTCTTCTAGACTATGTATCTTTACTACTTTAAGTGAGGTCTAGTGTGTTGAAAAGTCATTAAATGACCCTAGGACTTAGGAACCATGATTATCCCTGTTTTCCAGGTGAGAAAAGGCATAGAGAGTCTTACTAGCCCAAGGTACCACTGCTAATAAATGGCAGTCAGAAGTTTGGATGCAGGTGACCAGGCTCTAGAGTAGGCGATGACAATTGTTGTGTTATATTGCTACACAGGCAGGCAGATTAGCCATGTTCATTATTTAATTCATAACATATGCTGGCAGGGACTGTTTGTATGTAGGGAAGAAGAACTCAAAGCATATAATACTGGTTTGGAAAAGTATTTCCTTTTAAATGTTTGTTGTCTAGCATCCCAAAGCCTTAAAATAACTTTGAAGAGTGACTCAGTTTGTGTTTAACCAAAATATTACTAATGATGAAATAGCTAAACCTCAGAAGTTGTAATTACCAGTCCTGTATTATAAAGTACATCCCCCCCCTAATTTTATCTCTTAATGTGAAGCTAGGAGCCAGACTGTGACACAATTACTTTGCAGGGCATAGCAATTAAACGTGATGTGACATCCATGCTCTTCTATACCTAAAACTTAAATATTGGGGGGTGCATTTTGATGAAAACTATGAAGTATTTTATATTAAGGTGATTACAGAAGTAAAAAGTTTCAAGAGGTACCTGAGTGGTTCACTTGGTTAAGCATCTGACTTCGGCTCAGGTCATGATTTTACAGTTTATAAATCTGAGCCCCATGTCAGGTTCTGCACTGACAGCTCAGAGCCTGGAGCCTACCTCAGATTCTGGTCTTCCTCTCATTCTCTGCCCTTCCCCAGCTTGTGTGTTCTCTCTCTCTCTCGATCTCTCTCTCTCAAAATAAATAAACATTTAAAAAACTTTTGATAAGATTTTATGTGATTTCAAAAATCAACTTAGATGTTTGGAATTTTGATTGTTGCATTCATTCTTTGGCACATGAACAAGCAAGACTCATAATTTATAATAGAATATGAGTATATATAATATATAGATAAGCCACTTTTGTACACACAATTATAATAATGTAATAGACAAACCACTTTTTATCTACAGAATACAAATAGTGTGGCAGGTGCAGCAGGTTTCCTACTCAATATATATTCTCCCCTTAGTTTTTACTAATAGCATCATGGTTTGGGGGAGGGGACAGAAGAAATTGTGCTCAGCTAGAAAACCTTGCCTCTTGAAAATTTAAATACCAGTTGAATATTTGAAAAATTAAAGAATAATTACAATTTTGCCTTTAGATGTGATAATGTAGTTAGATTTAGAAAATCCTTATCTCTGGAGCACCTGGGTAGCTCAGTCAGTTAAGCATCTGACTTCAGGTCATGATTTTGTGGTTTCTGAGTTTGAGCCCCACGTCAGGCTCTGTGCTGACAGCTCGGAGCCTGGAGCCTGCTTGAGATTCTATGTCCCCCTCTTTCTCTGCCCCTCGCCTGCCGCACTCTGTCTCAAAAATAAAGAAATGTTTAAAAATTTTTTTACATAGAAAGTAAGTCCTTATCTCATAAAGATACCTACTGAAATATGTATGGATGAAAAAATATGATGTCGAAGATTTGCTTCAAAATAATATGGTATGTGAAAGTAGATAGAAGCAAAGATGAAGTGACATTGACCAACAATTGAGAATTAAGTCAAATCATGAGTGCATGATGGTTAATTATTCTATTCTGTCTACTTTTGTATATGCTTGGAATTTTTTAATTATAAAAAGAAAAAATGAAGAACAAAGTATACTGAATCATTTTTATAAACAAAGTAATCTTGAATAACTAGGGAGTTTTTGTTTGTTTGTTTTTTTGTTTTGTTTTTGGTTGTGTTTTAGTTTCCAAATGTATAGAATGGAAATGCCTATATAGTTCTCATATGTAAAATTTCCTGGATCTCTTTGTGTATAAATTATAGTGTATGATATTTATTTGCGGTGTTTTAAAACAATTTTAATGTTTATTCTTGAGAGGGAGAGAGAGAGAGAATGAGTGGGGGAGAGGCAGAGAGAAAGGAAGACACAGAATCTGAAGCAGGCTCCAGACTCTGAGCTGTCAGCACAGAGTCTGATGCAGGTCTTGAATCCACAAACTGCAAGATCATGACCTGAGCTGAAGTTAGACGCTTAACCGACTGAGCCACCCAGGCGCCCCTATTTGTGTTTATTCTAAGGCTTTCTTTTAATAAACTTTGGGCTGGGGTACCTGAGTGGCTCCGTTGGTTAAGTGTCCAACTTCAGCCCAGGTCATGATCTCATGGTTTGTGGGTTCGAGCACCGCGTCCAGCTCTGTGCTGACAGCTAGCTCAGAGCCTGGAGCCTGTTTCAGATTCTGTGTCTCCCTGTCTCTCTGACCCTCCCTTGCTCACGTGTGCTCTCTCTCTCTCTCTCTCTCGTTCTGAAATAAATAAAAACATTTAAAAAATAAATAAACGAACTTTGGGCTGCTTAGATTTATTATTATAAATAAAATATATCCTTATATCTTAGGATTTTCTTCTACTGTCTTACTTTGTGACATATTTACCAGACTTTCTTTTGCATTCTTTTTTCTGTTTTTCTGTCTTGGATTTAAGAAGTGTTCTTAATTACTTTATTTTCCTTCTACTAATTTGAAAGGTATGTATTCTATTTTCGTTCTTTGAATGATTAATATTAAATTTTTTGTATCTATTTTGGCATATAGATATAATTCTAATTATTATATTTTAACACACATATTAAACAAAGTTTTAAGGTTAATCTCTACCATACTTGTATATATTACAAGGAAATTCAGTAAAAGTAAATCCTTGGGGGCACCTAGGTGGCTTAGTCAGTTGAGTGTCCGACTTTGGCTCAGGTCATGATCTCACAGTTCCTGAGTTCCAGCCCCACATTGGGCTCGCTGCTGTCAGCATAGAGCCCACTTCAGATCTTCTCTCCCCCTCTTGCTCTTGATCTCAAAAAAAAAAATTAAACATTAAAAAAACTTTATAAAAAAGTAAATCCTTTAATAGTTCTTTAATGAAGATTTATGGGTGTAAGTTCAATTATTGTCTTTCTATTTAAAAAAATTTTTTTAAGTTTATTTTGGGAGAGAAAGAGCGTGCATGCGAGCACAACAGGGGAACAGCAGAGAGAAGGAGAGACAGAATCCCAAGCAGGCTCCACACCATCAGTACAAAACCCAATCTGGGGCTCAAACTCAAGAACTTTGAGATCATGACCTGGGCTGAGATAATGAGTCAGATGCCTAACCTACTGTGCCACCCAGGTGCCCTGATTATCTTTATATATATTTTACAAATAGTTTATTGTCAAGTTGGTTTCCATATAACACCCAGTGCTCATCCCCACAAGTGCCCTCCTCCATGCCCATCTCCCCCCTCCCCCCCCAACACCCATGATTATCTTTATATTTTTACTTGTTGAAGCATGGTTTGGCTGGTGATAATTATTTTCCATCAATATATTGAAGATATTTTCCTATTGCCTTTTGCCCTCTAATGTTGCCGAGAAGTCTGCTCTTGATCTAAGGTAATGCATGTTTTGTTTCTGGCTGCTTTAAAATTCTTCACTTTGATGTACTTTGATTTTATAAGTCTCAGTGCAGTTTTATATTTGTTTCATGTCAGAACTGGGAATTTATTTTTATTAAAGAACTTATATCTTCAGTCATTTCTGGGGAGTTCTAAGTTATTGTCTTCAAATATCATCTTCCTCTGTTTTCTTTATATTTATTAATTACATTCAGATATCTGTATTAAGATTATCTTAATTGCATTAAGATAATCTGTATGTTATCCTCAGATTTCTTCAAGTTTGCAAATTTTCAACTATGCTTAATGTGCTGCTAAACTTTTCCTAAAGTTTTATATTTTAGTGACGGTATTTTCATTTTGGAAGTTCCTTTTTTTTTTTTTTTTGCTTGTTCTTTTGTCATCTTTGTTTCTTATTTGTTCTTTTGTCATTATTTTCTTAGTTTTTCATTATGGCATTAGCCTGTTTTTGCTCCTTAAATAAACATGTTTAAAATTATTATTTTAATCTCTTTCAGATTATTCTATTCTTTCAAGTTCTTAGGAAGCCATTCCTCCTGTTTGTTGTATCTGCTAACTGTTCTTCATGCTGGATTGTTTCCTTCCTTCCTTCATGATTG